GAGCATTCGTTATTTTACGACCATAAAATATATATATGAATATATATATATAGAGAGAGAGCGAGAAAGAGAAAGAGGGCGCGAGAGAAAGAAAGAGAGAGAGAGCGAGAGTATAGTAGATATAGTAGGAGATAGAGATACGTACAGACGCGCGTCAGAACGCACGAGTGTCTGCGTCGTAAAAGCGAGCTGACGGACGCTCTCGTGTTTTTGCTGACAGATGCTTTCGTGTTTTTGCAGACGCGCGCGTGCTGGACGGGGGAGAGAACTTCAGCGTGGGCCAGAGGCAGCTGGTCTGCCTCGCGCGCGCCGTCCTCCGTGACTCTGCCATCATTGTCATGGACGAGGCGACCGGAGCGCTAGATGGCGCCACGGTCGACACGCTGCAGCGCGCCATAGCAACGGCGTTCGCTGGCAAGACGCTCATCACGATCGCGGTGAGTGCTGCTCAGTAGGTGGCCGGGCAATTTCATGATCAACCCTGTTCACTGGCTACTATTTCTACTGCTACTTTTGCTGTTGTTGTTGTTGTTGTTGTTGTTGTTGTTGTTGGTGCTGCTGCTGTTGTTGTTGCACCACTGTCAACTAACCCTGTCTCGCTCACACAAAATCCAAGGAATACTTCTCCTATAGCAATACATTACATTATAGTATCTGTAGCATGTTTACCACATTGACACGGGAAGTCGGTGACATCGATTGACGATTCGCCGTCGCCCGTCAGAGGTGGACGAGAACACGTTATTACGCCGACAAGTTTTGCGTGGTTTTGACATTGTTTTCCCGCGTTTCTCTCCCCACAGCATCGTCTCAGCACAATCCTGGAGCACGACACGATCGTTGTTCTGGACAGACACAGGCGTGGAGGCGAGATCGTCGAGCAAGGAACGCCGCGCAGCCTGCTCCAGAACCCCGACAGCTCCTTCTACTCCCTAGTGAAACAACAGCAGTTGCTATGACAACGGGCGCCGGTAGCGCCGTCTGGGGGATCGTGTTCTAGTAGATAGTCACTGGTATGTGATATTGGTGTTCGCCGTTACCGGAGATGATTACTGTGAACTTCAGTACTGCCAAAAAAAGAAATTGTCGTGGGGCTGAGGTGAACTAGGGAATTGCCTTTATTGTACAGACATGATATTATTGTTTACACCATTGTCAGCAGAGAATTCGTCTTTGCGAGTTTCCAAAATGGCGGGATTCGAAGCGCGCGCCTGCGTTCGAATGTTTCACGTGCCGTCTACAGCCTCAGCGCCCTCTATGAAGAGATGCGAGAATCTCTCCCACTCGTCTGTATGTTAGTCGTAGGAGTAACACGTCGGTCTCACAAACACCACGAGCGAACGCGTTACTACGGAGAGAAACAAGCAGCGCGACGTTGTACAGTGCCACCGTCATCGCAGTGTCCGCCGCTAGATGGCGCTGTCTCCTGCTCCGTCCGGATCTGGCGTCTGCGTCCTTGACCCGCTGTCGTCTGCTGTGCAGGTGTATGAGGTATTAACAAGTACAGCAGACAATAGTCTGCTCTTGAACTCTCGTGTTGGAAGGCAAAGTCTACAAGCTCTATAATATGATCCATAATAGGATTGGCATGAAATGCAGCTAGAGTGTATGGTCTAAGTGGCAGGCATGATGAGTGTCCGCTTTCTCGCGTGCTCGAGCGGACGTGTTGATGCGTTTTATTGTCACTGCTGTTTGTGGGCGCGATTAATTACGCTACACATGAATTGTGATTGATTGTACAGCGGAAGCTGACTTCGTATACCATCGCTAATATTTGGTATAATTAGGTTCTTCTAACTGCAAACACGTGTGTGTGGAGGTGTGTGCGTGCGTGTGTGTGCGTGCGTACGTGCGTGTTAGTGTGTGTGTGTTAGTGTGTGCAGGTGCCCATCGGTGAGTACTTCACGTATGTTAACGAATGCGCTGTAATTGCAGGTGCAACCTGGATCCGACCGGAGCTTACTCTGACGAGGAGCTGTGGAGTGCGCTAGAGGTTGCCCAGCTGAAGTCCTGCGTCATGGACGTGCCTGGAAGACTCGGTATGTTGTACACACACTCTCTCGATGCCCTCCATGAAGCCTCGATCACCCGAGGGTTTAATTAGCGAATAATATGCGAAAATATGCGAAAAATATTTAATTTGCGAGCGCTGCAGGGCCGCCTGTTACTTGGTTGTCTGCTGCTGGTTGTCGTATCGGCAAAAATACTGCTTGAATGACAGGCTGGCTGCTAAGTTGATGGCAATCCACGTGAAACAAAGATCTTGAGTAGGAGTTTACCGATGTCAATAAACGTGTGAAGAGCTGGCGTCGTGAACAACCGAGCATTCGTTATCTTACGACCATAATATATATATATATATA